CACACACACACAGACACACACACAGAGACACACAGACACACACTCACACACACACAGACACACACAGACACACACACACAGACACACACACACACACAGACACACACACACACAGACACACACACACAGACACACACACACACACAGAGTTGACGGTCATTATTCGTGGTAGTTGTATTCTACAAAGTCGCCACAAACACTGAATTAGTGAATACTGAATCATTGCTTCTGGTCACATTTTTGTCAACCAATCAATACAAAACCTTACTTTATGTGTGTTTCTGTTTAAAGATACTTCACTTAATATATGTAGCTCATTCATTGAACTCAGGGCCAACAGCACATAACTCATGCCTGAAGGAAGCTTCTCCAACACACGTATTTTCCCCCTAAGACACATCCAAGCTTTCTCGCACTTAGAAATACCAGACAGCACTTACTTCAACACTACGCTTGGGGCATTTTAAACAGCAAAATCATTAACAAAAAGTGCAAAACACATGGCACTAAATAGACCACAAAAAGGACACTTATGTACAGTCTGAGAGCTGAACCAAGGAAGTGGACATTCACCTTGATCAACCTCAGCTGGGGACATAAGTGCATGTCAGACAACGCCAATTTCCCGCTGCTCTGCGCATGTCTGAAAATGACTGTGAAAGCCCCCTAAGTATTGAGTAAGGAGTTACAAATAAATTGTAACAAGTAGACAAATTCCCATAGATGGAATCCATGAATAATGAGGATCGACTGCATATCACGAGCAAGATGTAAGCCTTGGTGTGTTACGCCACTGAGATTTAGGCATTCACATGTTACAGCAATGCAACCTCGCCTACCGAGAATACAAGTGCTGGTGTCTTCCTCCTTGCCAGTCCTCCAAACCTGATCAGCCTATGTGGTTGGTCTGTCTCACCTTTCCTTGTGCCCCACCCCCATCATGCCCTACCTCCACCTCACCCCACCTGTGGCTGTACCTAGGCAGGCCGCGGCTCCCACCATTGCATAAAGTCCTGGGGTAACACAGTCTGCTCCAGGCCTGCACCAGTTCCTGAAGATGATCCAGTCATGGTGATGGTAGGCCAGCTGCTCCACGCCGATCCCCACCATCCTGCCGGCCATTGCTCCCACAGCCATGCTAGGGATGAAGAGGCCGGATGGGATCTCCAGGGAGCACACAGGGAAAAGAAGCATGAGGAAAGGAGTCCAGTTTCCCGCTTCCCCACGCCCACTAAACACGACCCCCCTCAACAAGCTTGCATTTTGCTTCAGTCTTCAAGGAAGGCGCAACACTTCAAAATAGGTCAGCTGGGGAAAGGAGGGACCAATGATTTCACATACTTAGTCAGTCTATCTACTGGGACTTGGAGGGGAGGCAATTTTACACTTTCATTTCCTCACTTTCAAAAGCAGGACTGGTTTGCATGCTGTGGATTAGAGAATGATAAGCCACAATGCAAATAACATTCAAAGTGAGCATCTGTCACTTGAGATACTCGCCACTTTCTTGCTCCCCTTGAGTGTCATTCAGATTAGCTTTCAAAATTAAATGTCAAACCACAGCATGAAAATGAAAAAGAAGGGCCTGCAACTGTGCACAGGTAAAATAAAGAAGCTGAAAGCATCAGTGCAGCTGTCCTGGATCGTCCAAAAAGCTTCTCCCGGGCTCACTGCCCTCTTGACTATACAGTGGCCAAACACCTGCTAGAGAGAGATGGGGAGCAGTTCCCTCTTCCTCATAAAGTACACATTCTGAAAAGGATTCTGAATATTTTTGAGCCAGGTTAGAGGCAGCAAATAAATAGACTACGTAAACTAACATATCTTGGTAAGGGCGTGTTTTATATTTTGCTGTGTGAAAATACATTTTAATCTATCTAACGATTACACACGTGCAGCAGAACACACCTGACACTTTGCGTTCATGGAGGTTGCACATGACCACGATCCTGAGTGGGAGCTGCATTTATGCCCACCCCACACTGTCATCAATCTCAGGATGGAAGTGTATCTTTAACCAAATTCCAGGTAAGTTTTGATCCTTCAGTGGGATTTCTCCAGTCTGGGCCAGTCCTGAGGAAATCGTTCCTTTCTGAGCTACCCCTTAGCCCACAGCCATCTAATCCCCTGTAACTTCCAAGTCCACTTCTCCCAGCAGGCCCTAAAAGATACTCCTAGTGTCTTCCTCAGACACAACACTAAATCTTTTTGCTAGATGATGGATCAGAGACAGTCAGCTGTTTAAGGAAGATCACCCAGCCTTGTTCTTAAGGCAAAAATTCAGGTGTGCGTTTGACCACTACACACTCAAGTGGAAACGCTACACAGTTTCTTAAACTTTTTAAAAAGGAAACAAATCGTAACACCACCACACAGAAAGCAATAGTCATGGACCACGACGGGGGCTCTGGAGGTTTCTCCATGTTCTGCTTCTCGTCCTGGTTACACAAGCGTGTGTGTTTTGTGATAGTTCACCACGCTGTAAACGGCTCTATATGAATGATGTAATCTGAGCCTTAGCTCCTTCACTTCTAAATGGGATTAAAACCTCTCAGAGGCTTGCTGTTTATCAAAAGCATTGTTTCTTGTTGATGAAAAACAATGTCAAGTGCCCGGCCCAAGCCAACATTCAATAAAGGTCAATTCCCCTTTCCTCCCATCACAATTTTATTTTGGCAAGTAAGGTGCTATCCCCAGGACATGGGTGGCCCCCCACATCTTCCTTCCCCTTCACTTACCTTCATGCCAAAGGTAAATATGGTAATGACGATTTTGAAGATGAGTGCCAGGGCCAGCTGCCACATGGCCGTGTACACCCCAAACCCAGCCGGCCGATCAGGGATGTCATCCACAGGCCGGGTCATGTTGGGGTCGTTTATGTAGTCACAGAGCTGGGAGGACTCAAGGGCCCCGCAGTCATTGAACAGCTCGGAAATGAGCTCGCTCGTGCTCCGGCGTGTGTAGGGATTGGGGTAGGCAATGATAGCAGTGATGGCAGTCACCACGATGACCTCCAGCACCGGGTACTTCCCCAGCTTGGTGGTTTTGCGCCTCCTGCACCAGGCGATGTTGCAGCGGATGAAGAGGGTCCCCCACAAGCCCCCAAAGACCCCCAGCAGGATGAAGGGAAAGAGCTCAGCCATGTACCAGGGCGTGTGATATTCCACGTAAAAGAGAACGAGGCGGCTGTTTCCAAAAGGATTGATGGATCGCAGCGTGAAAGCCGCTACCAAGGCCGCAAAAAAGGACCTCCACAAGGTCTTCAAGGGAAAGTAGTAACTGACCTGGGACGAACAAGGAGAAAATCAGAGACTGGCGGAAGAACGGGCTGCCCAGAGCTCCAGCCCCACTGATCAGCCAGCACCACTAGCGCCTGGTGTGAAAATCACACTCAACCCAAAGATGGGTGCTACTCACTTCCTCAATCTAGGTTTAATTATGATCCAAATGCACCAGCAAAGATATTTAAAGGACTCTGTGTCCAAAAGCAGAATAGTGCGTTTGAGCTATTTGTTTAAGAGAAATGAAAATACTTAATCATAATTCTGTTTATGGCACAAATACCAGCCTATAAGCAAATAAACCTCTTCTGATTTTGATTCTACAGACAACAGAATAGATTATGGATTGGAAAACCCTGTCCCAGCAAATGTATCCATATGGCACATGAGTTAAGAATGATTTTATATTTCTTAAATGGTTGGAGGCAAAAAAATATTTTGTGACATGTGAAATATTCAAAAGAAGAACACCCCTTTGTGACACATGAAAATTACATAAAATTCAAACTCAAGCATTCCTAAGGGAAGTTTTCTTGGAACACAGTCATGCCCAAACACGTGAGCGTTTTCTGGGGCGGCTTTCCCGCTACAACGGCAGAGCTGAGTAGTTGCGTTAGAGACCGGAAGACCCTCAAAGCCTAAAATATTCACTATCTGGCCCTTTCCAGAAAACTTCTGCCAACCCTTGGAATAGATCCATTTGGGTTGCCCAAATCAAAAATGCTTAACTAAGTTGGTTATGACAAAGAAAGTGGACTGCAAATCTTCCCCAAAAATCACAGTGGCGATTTTTAAAACAATACTTGAAAACAGGTATTTAGTGGTGCAAATGTGGCTCCTTAGTGACCTGCAGGAACCTTGTCCAGTACTCCTTTGAGTCTAGTCGGCAAAGGGCTGGAGATGGAGGCCTACCGCTGTGCTAACCATCCACATATTCCTCAGCCCTCAAAACCCCGCATTCCCTCGACCCCTCCCCCCATTCTCACCTCTTCTAGACTGAAAAGCACACCCCCGATAGGAGCGCCAAAGGCAACGGAGACACCAGCAGCCGCTGCAGCTGACAGCACCTGCGACGCAAAGAGTTCTGTGTAAGTCCCAAGGCCTTTCATGAAAGCAAGTGTTTGCTGGTGAGACTGGAAGGGGACACCTTCCAGAAAATGGAAGCTGAGCCTGCTCACCTCGCGTCTCTTGCCTTCATTCTTGCTGTACTTGGAGAAGAGGCTGCTGAAGAAGTTGCCGCAGCAACAAGCCACGTGCACCAGTGGCCCCTCTTTCCCAAGGCTCAGGCCCGAGGATACTACCAGCACCAGGGTGACAGTCTTGATGAGCAGGGTCCACTTGCCCAAGTAGCCCCTGATGATAAAGCCGCTCAGAATGGTCTTTATCTGCAACAGGATGGAGAACAAGTGGATGGAGCAAGCTGCTTCAAAGCCACAGCTGGGAAACAACTAGTTCCTCTCAGAGGCATTTTTCAAGCTTAGATTCACTACATCATATGGAAGAGAGGCTACTTTCGTTTTTGGTTTAGCTATAATTTTATGTTAACAGAATTTATGTTAACATATAATTTTATATTATATTAATGGAAACCTGAAACAATTCAATGCATAGAAAATCTTAAGAATTCCTGGAGTAATAAGATCATAATGAGGACTGAATAATTATCGGGGTCTCATTTTATTTATGGCATTTTATCTTGTTCACATTATCCTCTGTTGTGTTGAAAAGAGACAAGTATCTATTGATTTTAACTGCTAATGTTTGACTATTGAAACATGTCCAAGATAAAGAAAGCTGGCTAGCTATGTGACAAAGCACACAGAACAAAATGTCAATTGAACTTTAGGTGAGGTCTGCAAACTATGGCCCGTGGGCCAACTCCAGCACACTGCCTAATTTTTATGACCCACTAAGGGTGCTTTCAACATTTTACATTTTAAAGAATTTTATTGAGGAATTGGGAGAAGGGGAACAGACAAGTTGTTGTCGTTTTGTTCTTCAGTCTAGTTGTGGAGGACGTTGCTTCACTGGCCCAAGTTGGCACCATCATTGCACTCTTCCCGGGCGAGGCAGATTGGTTGCCGGCTTCTGGACGGCCGCTCACTGCGGCTGCTGGCCGCTCACGCTGGCTGCTGGCTACACACGGTAGCCCATGGCAACCCACTGCCACAGGGGCTGCAGCCTGCGCCCCGTCGCCAGCGACCCACGGCAGCCCAGCTCCAGGTTGAGCTGTTGTTCAGTATCTTAGCTGTAGAGGGCAGTGTCACTGGCCCTCATATGTGGGATCCAAACCGGGGCCCTCTGGCGTCCCAAGCCAGCTCTTAACCAATGCGCCACTCGGCCGGCCCTCAACATTTTTAAATGTAATATATAAACAATACTACTAGTCTTTTAGTGAGAATAGCTGCTCGATTTTGCCTCTTGGTTCACAAAGCCTAAAACATTGTCTGCCCTTTTCCAGAAAAGTCTGCCAACCCCTGCTGCAGGCCATGGCTATATGGGTGTTTACTGTCCAGTTCTTTCAACTTTTCAGTATGTTTCAAATATTCTCAAAACGATGTTGGAAAAAGAAGATGGTCAACATTCTACTAACATACGTCTGGGGGATGTAAAGAGGTTTGAGGCCATGATGACCCCTTCCTACCGCCAAACCCTGCCCATTTGTATTGAAAAGGACGTTAGGGCCGGCCGAGTGGCGCAATGGTTAAGAGCTGGCTTGGGACGCCAGAGGGCCCCGGTTCGGATCCCATATATGAGGGCCAGTGACACTGCCCTCCACAGCTAAGATACTGAACAACAGCTCAACCTGGAACTGGGCTGCCGTGAGTCGCCGGCGACGGCGTAGGCTGCAGCCCCTGTGGCAGTGGGTTGCCATGGGCTACCGTGTGTAGCCAGCAGCCAGCGTGAGCGGCCATCCAGAAGCCGGCGACTGATCTGCCTCGCCCGGGAAGAGCGCAATGATGGTGCCAACTTGGGCCAGTGAAGCAACGTCCTCCACAACTAGACTGAAGAACAAAACGACAGCAACTTGTCTGTTTCCCTTCTCCCAATTCCCCAGCACTGTTCCCATCCCCCAAATTCCCCAATTAAAAAAAAATCTTTAAAAAAAAAAGGACGTTAATTACAGGTAGTCATCTTGCTCCACTTTCAGACCTGCCAAATTTTGTAAAGCCAAATAATGGCTTTCTTCCTAAAAGTACATGTGAGTTTGCCTAACACTTATAATTCAACTGGGTGCCAATCTCAGCGATAAACTTCATATATTGGAGTCCTCTTCCCCCAAACAGTATTCTTGGGGTAGAGGATCATCAGTGGGTAGATAACCTTTCCCACAAGGGGCTGAAATGGAGTGAATGTTTACTGTTCAGCAACTTACAAGCCTGTAATCATAGATTAATTAGACACCTAGGGAATCAGCCAATGAAATACTGGGTTGTCGGAAAAGTCATGACGTATTTTTTCTATGTTTTTCATTGCAAAAATGCGTCATGGCTTTTCCAACAACCCAATACATCGTCAGTTTCTGTTTTCTCATTGTCTAATACATAATGGGACAATGTTAACTCTAGTCAGTGTCAGGACATTTATGTTACTTCAAAGTGCCTCCTATTTGGCATTGCTCTGCCAAAAAATCAGTTTCTCAAATAGCTATTACAGTCCTTCTCAACCTTGGCACTCACTGGGATCACCTAATTAGAACCCCCAGAGATGTGGTCTGAGGTGCATCCTGGGCCTGGGGATTCTAAAATGCAGCACAGGTAGAGAACCACTGCTCCATTCATGCAAAGAGTAGTAGAGGTATTCCTAATTTCTCAATACTTAAGGGACAGTCTGTAAACACTCTTCAGCATTATGTCGTCTTTGGCAATTTGGGGAGGGTCATGAAGTGAACTAATCCTCGAAATTTTAAAGGGGTGTAAATGGGCCATTTTCATCTCAGAATTATTGATAGAGATCTTTCTTAATTCAAGGAGAAAGACCGAGAGCAAGCGAGTGCACAGACGTACATTTCCAAAGAACGCCATGAGCTCCTTTCTATAGAATATGAGTAAGGGCTCTGGCTATGCAACCGGATGATGTTTCTTGAACTGGCCTTTAAACTAATGGCAGACAGACTGGTGGTGGTTAAACTGGTCTTTAACAGTGGTAGTTGGCCTACTTGAACATGTGCTCTGAGGATCTCAGATCCCTTTGTTTAGGGGATGTTTTATTATGCCTGCCACAATCCTGCCCTTTTGTGTTGCCTTGAATAAAATTATCCATAATTTTTTGTCAGTTAGTTAATGTAGATTTGGGCCCTAGGGTACAGTTTAAGAGTGTAGTACCATTCAGAAAATGACAAGCATCTAAATTACCTGAGTCTATGCCAGCCATGACATGTGGCAAATTGAACAATGTAATAGGCGTTTTGTAATTCTCTAAAATGATTTTATAAAATTGTCATGATCAAATTAGGGTCTAAAGAAAGCAAATCCAATCCCGGGGGATGCCAAAATCCAATCGCTTGCTCTAATTTGAATTAATAGAGATGGGAACCAAGCAGGGCTTTAATGAGCTGTATTACAGCGGTTTTGTGACTTGGTGGGGTTAACTTTAAAACCTTTCTGGTAAACAAATAGCTGTGAGAGTGTTCATATTTTATAATGTAGCATCAACTCAGAGGACCTTCTCAGAGGACATGATTTCTTGTATAGTCAATAGTAGTTGTACTAATGAAGCAAAAAGAAGGAGCAAGAGGGGCGTCCATGCGCAGTCCTCCCTAAATTCCCAAGTCCAAGAACGAGTGTTCCCATTGCAGTGTGCTTTAGAGAGCTTATACAAGAGCATTTCCTACACAGAAAAAAAGTTTCTTGAACTTTGCATTTTGAAAACGTTTCCAAAGGAATGTTCGTTCTAAGTAATCAAAATGTGTCAGAGGCGAGTGCTAGGGAGGGTGAGCAATTTTTAAAATGTGCAAAAAAAAAAAGTGCAGTGCATTCGAAGTTTGTTCTGAGATCGCACGTCATATGACAGCTTCGAGCAAATCACCTCAAATGATGGTAGGTCTGTTTCCTAAATAGCTCAGTCCGTATCTTTGCTAAAATGAAGGAGAATTTGAGTGAAGTCAGTTTATGTAGTTAGTTGGGTTTTAACTGGGAGGAGGCTCTTTGTAGCCATGAATGATTTATTCATGTTTACCTTTTCCTCCAAGCAGTGGGGTAGGTACCGCACCCTTAGCTTAGTGCTTTCAAAGGCTATGATAATAGTAGTGAAAATTTTGCTACTACTGAGTCATAATAACCAAATCTTAATTATAAAACCTCCACTGGGTTCCTGATACTTTACAAGATTATTGTGAACTCTTTTATAAATAGAGAAATGGATCTGTTACATATTAGATATAGTTAGAAGCATATTAATAAAACAAGCACCCATGTACCCACTGCCAAGTTTAAGATAGAAGCGAGGGTACCTTTGAAAGCCGGCTGTCTGCTTCCTCAGTAGAACCTCCCTCCTCCCCCAACCCAATCAGTCCTTGCCTTTCTTTATGGCCTTGGCACATATGTGTGTCACTAAACAGTATGCTACTGCATTCTGGCTGTTTATGGACTTTATGTAAATAGAATCATACTTTATATAGTTTTCTGCAACCTATTTTTTCATATTGCTTTATTTTTATATTGTTTTTTCAAGTTTCACCCCATCAGTGTGTTCCCTGCACTTTTGTCATGCAGGAAGCTTAATGCTCAAGTCAGTCGTTTAGTCCCTTTGAGTTCAGCTCTCACAAAGAAAGATGTCTGCTTCAGATGAAGGCAAAGTCCAGGCAGCCCCTCCCACACAGAGCTGATGTGCAGGCTCCCTGACTGCCCACAAGATCACAAGCTGAGCTGGCATCTCTGGTTCTTGGGAGGGGGAGGCAGGATTGCCCACCACACCTTCCACTGCTGCTTTGAATTTTCCACCAATTCCCTTTGGCCATCTCCTTATTTTGACAAGGCGGCTTGAGTCAAAAAAAAAACACACCTACTGTTGGCAGTGGGGTCATAAGCTGAGATGCCAACGACAATCTGTTCTTTTGAATGTCTAGGGTGCTTTCGGTCTTAGACATCAAATAAAATGCCGTCAGTTCTGCCATAATGCTTGTTTTGAAAACACGAATTTGTTCCAATGTGATTCATGCATTAGGGAAGAACTTGAGCGGAACGCAAATTTCGCATCTGTTTATGCACAATTTCATCTGGGAGAAACACGGGGTGAACGCAGAAAACTGCACCAGCTGAACCCAGCCAGGCGACGATACACAAAACGCACACAGGTGCATGCCTCAAACATCCACCAGTTCACATGTGCGCTAGGGAGTATGTATATATTTCTTAACCAATTAACTACGTAAAACTGTGCTACTGTTTTCATTAGGCTCCTATCCTTTTTATACGTGTCACCAACAAAGTTTTTGAATGTTGTGCCCCTAACCCCACTTACCCCACAAGCTCTATGGTTTGTTTGTACGATTTTGCACGGCCCTGTGATTTTTAGGAATGAGCGTTGCATTACGGCAGAACTGGCTGCATTGAGGAATTAGGGTTGTATTGGAGCTTGTTTTGGGGGGTCCTGCAGCAACATGTTAATGGGAACAATCAAAAAGTGAGCATGACATAGTAAGTCTTTTTTTCCTCTTTCCTGGAATAAGACATGGCAAGCTTTTCTTTCCGTAGTCTTTTAATTACGCCAGCCCTTTCCATGAACCATCTGGACCAGTAGCCATGTTGGCGAGCACCACATAATCAGTCACATTTTGAAACTCACCATCTCCACTGCCTATGGGCATTGCTGAAGCATCAACCTGAAGGAGAACTGAACTGCACTGATTAGAGTGACAATATAAGAACTTTTAAAATGATTTCTGGCTAAAATGTTTATGCTCTGGGTTTGGAGGAATCCACTCAATTAGCACTCTTCTACCCAGTAGATCTTCCTAGGTTTGAAGTTTGGTCTCAGACATTCCTCTTGATCAATGAGGTCACCTCCCTCCTACTTTGGTTACATGAAAGTGCTGAAAAATATTTATAAGACTCTAAACTCACAGGGGTCCATTCTCAGTGCAGGCACTGAATGTGGGGTTGAGATTTTTAAAGGTTGCTACCACCTTGTCACCAGAAAAGCAAATCGTGGCAAGGGGGTTTGCTCATCAGTAAACTTTCTGAGCACAAACCTCCACTGTTGTCCAGTTCCACATTACATCACAGATATACTTACAAGTTATTAAAGTGCCACATCTATATGAGTGATTAATAGATTCTGCTTCCACAGGCTTTAGCGTTTGTGCTTGGTTTCAAAGACAAGAATTTAATCATCTAATTTAAGCAAGAAAGCATAAATCCTGAATGTAGAGCTTAAATCCTGGCTTCAACTCCCAGCTTACCAGCTGAGTGACCTAGGGCAAGTTACTTAACCTCTATGTGCTTCAGTTCCTCAACTAACAAATGAAGAACAATAATAGTGATGTCATAGGCTCACTGTAGGGGCTAAAGGAGTTCACAGATGTCAAAGGCTTAGAACTGTGCTTGGCATTAGGTGCTACATAAGGATCTGACCTTCTCATTATTGGCACAGAACAAATTCGGCCCCCACTCACCTCTGGTATACCAGAGCCACAGGCATAGGGTGCAAATACGCGCACCAGGGAGACGGCCAAAAACGCAAACAGCAAGGCCCACAGGATGTACATTAGGTAATTCAGAATGTAAGCACTGGCACCCTGAAAAACAGACACAAAACAAGAAAGAACCCATCAGCCTCAGCACACCTGAGCCCCCCTGCCCTTCGCCCCTCTGCTGTGAGAAAGCAGTGGTGACCATATTGGGCAGCTTCTGTCCCGTCCTGCATCAACACAAAGGCCAGTGTTGGTTTTATCAGCTGTTGTTATTGCTATAGTCAACACCCACAAACACAGCACCGGGGCTTCCCCACAAGCTGTATACACACATAGCTTCTAACAGGTGAAATCTCAGCGGCCATGGAAACCGGGACCAAGGCTCGGTTTTAATCACCACTTGTGCTAGAGTTAATGAAAGGTGTGACGCAGACAACTCTGTCTTAAAGCCCCGGGAAGATTTGCTTTGTCGTGTCTGCGGTGGATCGGCCCCTCTTTGCTTTCACTAAGGCCACCGCCATGCCGCAGCAAGCAGCCGCCATGCCGATGAGTAAGTGTCAGACTATAGTCTAGAATACTGCTACTCGGTGTGCTCCCAGGATCGGCAGTGTCAGCGTCGCCTGGACACGTTAGAAATGCAGAGTCTTAGGCCCTGCTCGATCAGACATTCTGGAGGTGAGTCCTGGCAATGCGTGTTTCAACAAGCTCTCCAGAGGACTAGGATGCATGCTAACATCTGTGAGGCACTTGTAGAGGGGGGAAACTTGATCATCTCCTCAGACTAATTCACTGAACCATTTCTTCCAGATTATCTGGTGTGTAGACAAGGATTTCTGACCCAAACACACAGTCTGGGCTCTTTGACGCGGAGGACCTGGTCTGCTGGGTGGAGCCCACATTTCTCCAGGCTTCAGCTTCTTGCCACCATCTGGACTACTCAAGTGAGGGGGAAAGAAAGCGAGGTCACCTACAAGTCAGGCCACGGCCACAGCCACATGTGTGCCTATTAAATACAAAAACACGTTCCAGGAGACTGCTCTGGCCTTTACAATCACATATATTCACACCCTATGTGGTGAGAAATCGGACTGAGGAACACATTTCACACACTTAAAATTGTACTTTTTTGAGACTAAAAATAACTTCTCACTCTTGCTAACAGTAATTCTTTGAATCAAAGTATAAATCTTAGAAATGACTGACAAGATGGACGGCCATGTTTTTCAAAAAAAACATATTGCAAGTAGGAGAAAAGAAATGAAATATGGCACTCAGCCAATTTTGCCTGCCCACTCCCATCAACTGGAGAGAATTTATTTTTGAAGTAATGGAGAGCACCGACAATGTATGAGATTTCAAGATCCCTGTCTACTTCTGAGACTTGCAGGAATTAATTTTCAATTCCACCCAGAAAGAGGTTTAGCAAAATGGCCAAGTACATTCCAAATGTCTTCAGCTGTGGTAACTCCATAGGGCAAAAAAAAAACAAAAACAGTGGGGGCAGGAGATGAAGAAATAGATTATATCTATCTTCCAAGGATACTTCTAGCTTGAATGGTCTTCACATTACCCTTAATGTGAATCTTGGCAACCTAGCTCCCCCTCACCTGGGTTTCTGATCTGTCAATGACCCACAGTCATTGTGGTAACCACTGAATTGGGTTAGAAGTTAACCCTTGTCCCAAACTAAGATTTTTATCCAGATCTGAAGTTTTAAGTGCCGCGAAGGCAACTGCCAGGTCAGTGGGTCACCACTACACCCTCTTTGCCTGGGACAGTCCCACCCCAGAGGCCCACAAACCTCCTCTGCAATGTGCTCATAATATGCACCACTTTATACCTGCTAGGATGGCTAGAATCAAAAACAGATAAAAACAAGTGCTGATGAGGATGTGGCCGAATTGGACCCCTCGTACACTGCTGGCGGGACTGTAAAATGGTGCACTCACTTTGACAAATAGTGTGGTGGTTCCTCGAAAGGTTAAACATAGCGTTACAATATGACCCAGTCATTCCCCTACTAGGTATATTCCCCAAGAAAGTTTTCTCCACACAAAAACTTACACACAAATGTTCAAAATAAAACCATTCATAACAGTGCAAAATAGAAGCAACATATGTTCATCAACTGATGGACAAATAAAAAGTAGTTTATCCATATAATGGAATAGTATTCAGCCATGAAAAGGAATGGAGTACCGCTTTATGCTATAACATGATGAACCTGACAAACATGATGCTAAGTGAGAGAGGTCAGACACAAAAGTCCACATGTTGTATGAAGTGTCCAGAATCGGCAAATCCAGAGAGACAGAAAGGAGAATAGTGGCTGCCAGGGGCTGGCAGATTGGGGACAACGGGGAGTGACAGCTAATCAGTATAAGGTTTCTTCCAGGGTGATGACCATGATCTAAAATTAGATGATGGCAATAGCTGGAAAACTCTGTGAATAATCTAAAAGCCATTAAATCATGCACTGTAACTGTATACAAACCATATGGAATGTGAACTATATCTGACTAAAGCTCTTTTTTTCCAAAAAAGAGAACATCTTTTATCCTTAATTAGAAGGTATAAAAATCAACCCTATTTCTTCAGCATGATCAACAAACCTCTCTCGGTAAGAAAAGTAAAGCCAAACGTAAGACTTTTAAAATATATACATGTATTTTGCACATGAAGCAGTGAGGAAGGGTTTTCCAACTGAAGTTTGAACATGAGAGCTGGCAGAAGCCAAGTCGTAGTAGCTGAGGCCATGGACACTTATCAGGACACGCACTTGAAGGGGAGACCACAGACATTCACAAAACACCTAGGGGCGGCCCAGAGTGCCTGCCCAGAAACCCACCTCTGACTGATTCACCAGGAGCTCCGACCATTTCTGCCACCGGGGACACTTGTCCCTGTCCTCAAAAGTGGTCTCGTTGGAAGTCCAGCAGCACTGCTCGTGGCTGTACCAGAAGGCAGACAGGCACACCCCCTCCTTCAGGTCGGTCATCCAGTCGACGGCGAGATCGATGACCCCAGCCAAGGTGCCTGGGAGAAACAGCAAGAGCCACTTAGAGGGACCGCCCTGTGTCGCAGTGACAATGCCCAGCACGCAGCCAGCGCAGGAACACGTCCGCCAGGAAGGCCACACACTGGCGATGAACCTGCTGTGATCTGCCACACATACGGGAAGTTTCCTTCAGCAATCGTGACGTCCCCTGGGCATCTGTGGTGAGGCCGAGGCAGTGCCCGGCCCAATGAGGCAGATCCAAAGGGCAATCACATGTGGTACTCGGGGGCTGAAATCAGGCAGGGGACACGCAGATCTTAATTCATGACAAGCCACTGGGGCCACACAGCTTACAGAATTCATCCCTCCAAATTTCAGAAATAGGATACACACACCTTATAAGTGATATAACCCCTCGGTGGCTTCTGGGGCAGGAAGCTGGGGTCACACACATTCATATTTCTCTGGGAACCAAGACAATTCAGACAAAATGGAGGCACAATGACTAGAACAGCCTCATCATTTAAGTAAGGCTTAGCCACCAAAAGGGAACCAAAGTTGGAAAGTCTCACCTATTAGAACCTTCTGGACTTTTGTATTATGAATAAGGGATTGTGGGTCTATATAAGTAAACAACTGCTTTAAAGGCTGATAGAATTGGGATAAAATAGAGTGTTCAGTGGGCCCCAGAGGGCTACCTTGGGTCTCTTTCTAGAATAAGCCATTCTTCCAGTCTTTTCCCAAAACAGGGAATACTTTCAGACTACTACATTTTTCAAACGTCTACTGAATCCTATCATAATATCTCTCCCCACCTGTATCAATACCAGAGGCACCCACATACCTGCATCAGGGGCTCCTCCCACCTGGCTACTCCGGCAGCATCACAGCTGCCCACTGTTCTGGGCAGAATGCCCGAGTCCGCAACAGGTCGCAGACTCGAACTGCTGGCCCCTCGTATTTCTCTCCATCACTTAGCCCCACATCCGGCCCACTCCATGTTCCTAGAACCCAACGGGCTCTCCTCTCTGCACCAACTCAGGCAACAGTGTCTTCTCCTACCACCACCCTGGCAATCTCCTACTTATCTTCCAGGTTCTGGCATTTACATCACCTCCTTAAGGAAGCCTTCCCTGGTTTCCTAAGTCTGAGCTAGTACTTCCCAGACATTCAGCCATCGCCATGCCTATCACAGAATTGTATACTTTAACTGGGTGAATTATACAGTATGTGAATTATAGCACAATACAGTTGCTACATACATACACACACACATACATACAGTGGCTGAGGGAAATGAGGCTCAGAGAGGGGTGAGTGTACTTTTAGGAAAGGTGGTCAGGGAACGCAAGTGAAAAATGACATTTGAACAAAGCACTAAAGAAGATGAGGAAAAAGTCCTGCAGATATCCAGGGGCGAGACCCAATGATCACCCCAAATTCCTTTATCATTCACAATCACATTATCCCGCACCCAGTCTTCCTGTCTCACTGCTTCTGACAGTGCTGGCCTTCTCAGCTTGATTCTGTGGAGCAACGGCGACATCTGGTGGCGGCTCCTGAAAAATGCTTCGTTAGTGACTTCTGATAAACCTTTCGTTGCGTGGAGCAACAGCGACATCTAGTGGTGAATTCTGAAAAATGCTTCATTACTGGTTCCTGCTAAATCTTTCGTTCCGTGGAGCAACAGTGACATCTAGTGGTGGTTCCTGATAAGTGCACTGAAGAAGAGACCCTTCTTGGAACTCCCCATCTCAGGAGTCAAAATACAATGTCCGGGGTGCCACTGAGGAGATCACAGGCCAGGCAGTCGGACATCCGAGTGCTCTCCACCAGCTGGGGAACAGGAAAGTGAGCGGGGCACAGCTTGCTGGCTCTCCCTTCAAGGTACATCAGATCAAAAGAACACTTTAGCCACCTTCATTGTTAGTGTCATTGCATTCTTGCTTTCCTCCTATGTTCGTTTGCTGATGGATACAGAGGACCACCATTCTCCAGTGGCTCTCCCCTGGCTGCAAAGTAGAATCACTGGTGAAGGGAGGCTGGGAGGAAGTGGAAGTGTTCTTTACTCAATGCTAAGGCATCATCTCCAAATATACTATTTAACTGAAGCCTGGACAGCAGTATTTTTTTTAATTCCCCAGGAGATTCTTCCTAAAAGAACTGACGAAAATCAGGTTGCTAGTGAAGCCAACCGGTCAATATCAGGTTTGTTACAGATAGCCCAATCAGGGTCTTAGACTAGTCAATAAATCTACACTGTGCTAATATTTACTCCGGTAAGATGCTAGAACATCTATTCCAGATTTCATTTCCCCTATTTATTTCTCCTTCCTATGAGCCAAGAATAATGATACAGTGTATGGTTTTATAAATCTATTCTGAATAAAGACATCAAAATTCACAGCAAACTCCCACCCTGCCCACCTTCAAGAGTCTTCACAGAAACAAATTAGTGGCATGACTCCATGTATCCATGAAATCCAATTCCCTTCCAACATTGCAGCTATTATATACTGGGAATGCCACTGGGAGAGGAAGGATGGAATGGTAGAAATGGATGGCCAGCTGTTGAGACTACATGGGAAGTGTTCCCCCTTAGGCACTCCCTGGCAACCAAGCCCCTCCTACAACTGTGTATGGGATAAATTAAAGAGCACCCGGAAATCGAAATCCTTTGTAGCCACAAAATTATATTGGGTTGTCGGAAAAGTCATGACATATTTTGTCTATGTTTTTCAAAGGTCATTTACTTATATAAAGAACAGATCAATCATTGATATAGTGCCCGTTTTGTTCGATAACCTTTTGCCATCTTTCAGTGAGCTTCATAATTCCTTGTTCATAGAAGGACCTGTCTTTATTTGTGAAAAACTGAACAAGGTGCTGATTTAGTCTCATCTGAATTGAACGTTATACCACACAAGGAGTTTTGAAGACAGTGAAACAAGTGGAAGTCTGATGGCGCAGGGTCAGGTGAGTATGGTGGGTGTGGCAACACATCCCATCCAAGCTCCAATCATTTTTGATGGGTGAACTTGTGTGTGGTCTCGCGTTGTCATGATGGAACGCAACTCCTTTACAATTAACAAGCTCTGGATGTTTCTGGATGATGGATTCGTTCAAACTGTCCAATTGCCGACAGTACACATTCAAATTGATTGTTTGGTTTCTTGGTGGGAGCTCGAAAAACACTACACCATTAAAATCCCACCACACTGAGAGCACAACCTTCCTCTGATGAATGTCTGCTTTCGATGTCATTTGAGGGGAATCATCACGTCGGGACCAAGACCGTTTGCGCACCACATTGTTGTAAATAATCCACTTCCCATCACCAGTTATCAGTCACTTCAAAAAAGGATCATTTTCCTCACATTTAATGAGCATATTACAGATGTTTATACGCACCATCAAATGAACTTCTTTGAGTTCATGCAGAACCCAAATATCGAGCTTGCTTACATATCCCAGCTTCTTCAGGTGGTCGTGAATGCTTGAATGATGGATGTTCAGTGTTGGTGCAATCTCTTGTGTCCTGTAACGTGGGTTTGACTCAATCAATGCCTTTATTTTGTCATCATCAACCTCAGTGGGCCTCCCTGACCGAGTAGCGTCGTTGAGATCAACATCACCAGCACGGAATTTCGTGAACCACCGTTGGCACTGACGTGCTTGTAGAGCACTGTCACCGTAAACTTAATATGCAACTTTTCACAAGCTTGACGCGCGTTCTTCCATTTATGGAAGTAAAACAGTAAAATATGGCAAAAATGCACAATTTGGTCTTCCATCTTCAACTTGTTGTAAAATCTCCAAAACTCAACAAATCGCTCAATTTGTTTTTAGAATGAAGCTAGAACTATCAACTATCAAATGATATAGCAATAACATAGATGCGAATGACTCTAGTACTTCTAAAAATGAACTGGTGCCATCTGCTGCAAACATGCGTCATGAGTTTTCCGAAGACCCAATATCTATGCCACATGAGTGTTGTCTATCTTAGAGCATTTGCTGTATTCCACCTGTATTATAGTCATTCTCTTATCAATCCTATAACCATAATTACTATCTTATTATAGGTAGGGGATTTTTATTAAGGGAATCTCTTTAGCATGCTCAAATTCTTTACTCTTAGACATTAACCTTCACAGCCTCCTAAAAGGAAGTAAGTTTCAGGAAATGGTTTCCATGCAGAGTTGGTGCATTTGGTATTAAAATGCCAGTGTTCTCATCCATTCCCTCTGGAAACATATACTGCTCAAAAGCATGGTGCTGAGATCATAAAAATGAAGGACACAGCGTCCCTGAGGACGCCCACCCCGATGGGCTGGAGGTATCTCCCCTGGGCCGACCTCAGCTCCTGTGGGGTCTCACATTACTTTGAGTGTCTTAGGATGTTTGCAATTCATTCCAGGGCCTGCCAGTATTACTAAAGGCCACTCTCATATGGTGTTTTATTATTAGAGATGAAAATTTCCCCAGACTTTCTTGCCTTCTACATCACCAAGTAGGACAGAATGTAAAATGTGCACTTTCGATCAAATCCAGTATGACAACAGACCTTTGTACTGTGTGGAAAGGGCCCAGACGCTCTACAATTACAGCTCTCCAGGGACCGGACTTGGGCCCACGCCTTGAGATCTTGCCTTGTTGATGACAGATTTTATGTTAAATGTAAGGTCATGTATTTTGCTTTTAGATGTTTCAAGTACCGAATCCCTTGCATAAGGTAAAAGAGAAACACTCCATTTTCAGAACACCATCCCAAACGGCTGGCGCTCTGGGTTTCGGCACTTCCGGCTTGGCCGCATGAGTGCGAGCGCTGCACGCCTGTCCACATACCTGCCAGCAGGCCGATGAGCAACATCACTACCCATCCCGACCAGGCATCCAGCAGGCCCTTGATGAACTCCCATATGGACTCCTTGCTTTTGCTGGTTATCTAGAAACAAGAAGACACCGTCGTTGATCTGGACACATTTTCCAATCTGTGCTCCCTTCCCCAAAACTCTTTCTCAGGAAATGGGGTGCTTGAGAAGACAAATGTAACTAAGCAACTGAATTCCCACTTACATTTTTCTTTCCGTTACTTACCACATGATAAAATGGGCTTTCCAGTTCAAAAACTTCACTTAATTAAACTCATTAAGCGTGATTTGATCTTTGATTATTCAAGAGCCATTTGGAACAGAGACATTGATTCAGTGTCACCATGTTAAATAAGAATTAGTATTTTAACTACACCATAAGGCCTATTCACAAAAGAACCTCCTTGACAAAGACTTCATTTCCTTCTTTTGTTTTCAAAGTTAAATGTTAACAGCAAGAGCTTTGAATTCACTAGCACGGCTCACCCTTACCAGGCAGATGGATAGTCTAAACGCATTGGAAGAGCATCCCTTTGCCTCCCTGTGTTAACAGGATTCTGCTGCTGTGGCACCTAAGGGCCCATAAAGAATGCGCACATGGAGGAGCGTGGCTCTGTTCCAATAAAACTTCACTAACACAGCCAGGTGCCGAGCTGGATGCAGCCTGAGGGCCACAGTTCAACAACCTCCAGGGTGAAGGCTGCCCCATCGCCCATGTTCCTCCATGTTGGAGCCAAGAAACTGGGTCATCTTGACTCCACCTCACTCCCCACACAACTCTCTTCCTCCTTTCCTTGCCAACTTGCGGGAAATGACATGGCACTCTCGATATCACTCCAGCCTGCTCTGAAGCTGCACTCCCTGAGGTTGATGACAGCCCCCACACTGTTGGCTCCCGTCTGGTGAGTCGTCAGGCTGGCAGCCCCGCCCTCGCCACTCTGTCCTCCTTTCACTCGTGCAGACTCTTTGCTGGTGCACCTCCCTCATTTCTACCTCCTTCTTCCAAGTGTCCGTCACAGGTTGCCCATCTACCTGCCCATCTACCTCCCACTGTACCTGCTATTGGGTCATCGGAAAAGTCATGACGCAGTTTTTCTGTTTTTCATTGCAAAAATGCATCATGACTTTTCCGACAACCCAATAAATCTTGGCATTGCCAAGGGTCCTGACTGCCTCCTTACTTCTCCCTCTACAGACGCAGGCCACCTTGGCCTCTCCTAAAGCTCTATGTGACACAGCCTCCCACCCAAAGCACCAGGTATTACAATTACCTGCCCATATTCCTGCCTCCCCCGCTAGCCCTTCTCTTCCTCAGAACCTAGCCCAGTACATGACCCATGAACCTAAGCCCGAGCTCAGTAACTGTCCAATGAAAGCCTGGCCTAGCCATTTGAAGGGATCCCCTTCAACGTGTCTTTGATGAACACCACCTACCTTTCTGTGTCTGTCAGTGTCCCGTGACTTTTCCCTTAGCCAGTCGATGGTGTGGAAGTCCTCATACGTCCCCACATCAGGGAACGGTTCATCTAGGAAATCCATCAGGTTTCCAGAGCCACTCATCGCTCCCTCATTGACCATGCTACTTACACCTGGGAGAGAAAACCTGTGGTCAAAAACATAAGCAGGACATCTGCACAGACCTGACAGAATAACCCATGTGCACTATTTTCTTACATAAGAATGATTTCAGCATAGGCATCTCTGCTATGATGAAATATTGGGTCGTCAGAAAAGTCACGATGTATTTTTTCTGTTTTTCGTTGCAAAAATGCGTCATGGCTTTTCCAACAACCCAATATATACATACATATACAGTCTGTCTTAGCATGGACTGCTACAACGAAAATTCCATAGACTGGGTGGCTTATAAGAAACAAATTCATTTCTCACAGCTCTGGAGGCTGGAAGTCCAAGATCAAGGCACTGGCAGATTCGGTGTCTGCTGAGGGCCTGCTTCCTGGTGGAGAAGGCAGTCTTCTTGCTGTCTCCTCAGGTGGTGGAAGGAATTTGAGAGCTCTCTAATCCTCCACGTGATGGTATTAGGAGGCGGGGCCTTTGGGAGGTGACAAGGTCATGAGGGTGGCCCTCAGGAATGGGATGAGTGCCCTTATAACAGAGACCCCAGAGAGCTCCCTCACCCCTTCCACCATGTCAGGACACAGCAAGAAGTCTGGGACTGACAAGAGAGTCCTCACCCAGCCATGCTGCCACCCTGACCTTGGACTTCTAGCCTCTAGAACTGTGAGAAATAACATCTGTTGTTTATAAGCCACCCAGTCTGTAATATTTTGTTATAGCAGCCTGAACAGATTAAGACAAGCAAAGAGCCATGCCAGGCTGGCGACATGCTGCCCTAGGCAAGGAGCTCTGGGCACAGGCTTTTTTCTTAAAATACACTCAGAAGGGCTCCCACTGCCAGGGCAGTAGCAAAGTTGGGGCTTTCTTCCTTTCCTGCCTAAGATAATTCCACTCCCACTATTCTGGCTCCCCTTGTCCCATCGTCCATGTTATATACCACCATCAGAGCCTGATTTACAAATCACATAGGAGCTAATTTGAGATGTAGAAAATGCTTTGCAGCAGGGCCGGTGCTCACGACCAGTTAGCAGAAAAAATAACACACTCTTACAAAGACAAGAGGTTGGAATAAGCACTAAATAAAAATTACTTTGGCAAGGAGCATGGAAATGTGAATTATAGGACGAGGACCACAAAAGTGCTGGGTGAAGAGGTGAAGGGTAGTTATAAAAATATTTGAGCATAGGCTTCTCTCATTGCTTTATGTATTTTTATATCTGGAGGACTCAACCATGACCTGATGAAACTGCATTTTAATCAAATTGAAAAGTCGCTATGGGCAAAGTGGGGTAATCACCTTACAAGCAATAAAGTGGCCGTAGTGATTGATTTATTGACCATCTGCACAACTCAGCTGCTTTAAAACTTTGAAAGTTTGAGGTTTGAGCCGTGCCAAGCTGAAAACTATACCTGTTGATGAGTACCCAGGGAAGAATCATGTTGCATAAGTAAGTAGCAACCAGCAATAAAGGGAAGGAGTAAAATTCGAAAGCAAAGGTTTCATTCTCATTTCTACAAAAACAAGATGGGAATAGCCTCATATTGTATGTGGTAAAGAAAACCTATGTTGGGAAAAATGAGATGACAGGCTGTTGACCCACGATGTGAAGCCCTCGTGAGAAAGACCCAGCCAGCAGATAGAAGACCTGCAGAGACTTGGACATTCCATTAAAAGAGTTCACATTACCTGAAATTGAACCAAATCTCTAGTCAGGCAATAACTGCAGGCAATAATGGTTGAAACAAAAGGTCACTCTGGAGAACAATTACATCTTTAAATGTCATGGTCGTAGCAATTAGACACATAATTGATAAAGGAAAGTAAACATCATCTACTCTGTAGATCTAATCAAGAGCTTCCCTGGGGGCCCAGAAGGAGGTGGTGTTGGTCACTTCTGAGGATGGGATTAAGAAAGACAGGAGGGCCAGGAGAAGTGCAAGAAGACATCCAGCTCAGAAAAACGGAAAGAGTTCTACTATCTGGGATCCATTTGGGAGAAGTGGATGGATAAGGAATGAGAATCCAGGCAAACACGGGTGCAAAAAGGAGTGAACTCCAAGGACTTGCTAACTGAGAAAGAAACTTAACCTGTGTAAGCTCAGTATGGTACAAAGAACAAACTGCATCCCCAATGGGTCATCTCAGCCGAGGCCATCCTAGATCATCTAGGCCCAGCTCAGCACAGACTCATGAGCGAGCCCAGCCAAGATCAGCCAAGTTTGGCCCCATCGATCACCCATCCCACCTGTGGACTGTGAGAAAAATAAATAGCTATTGTTTTTAAACCACTGGGTTTTTTGAAGGGGTGTTAAGTAGCAGCAACATAACATTAACAGATACGATGTACTTGTGCTCTGAGGGAGAGGAGATATGAAGACAGGTAAGCTAGCTGTGGCATTGCAGACCAACTCCAGGGGAGGAAGACTGGAGCAGCAATAGATGACAAAGCTGCAAACAGAGACGTGATGGAATTGAATTTCATACTGGAGGTACAGGGCCTGATGAAATAACATCTCTCCTCCACAACCATACGAGTATTTACCTACAAAGGGACTTTGGAAGGCACATGGGACACCTAGGTCTTTTATCCAATCCTTTAAGGTAAGAAAGTATCTGTAAGTTTGGTCTCCCAGCATTAAGACCCCAAGAGGCTAAGGTCAAAGTCTTCAACATGTGTCGACTGATAGTGTTTAGGATGTAGTTCATGACTTTGATGTTGAAAGCAACTCTGAGGGTTGGCTCACCCTCAGAACTGGGACCTGTACCATTTTAAGGAAAGCTGGACTTTGTATAGTTGGGTACTGGCAATAACAAAATGGTTTCTAGAAGATGAAAGAAAGCACAAAATCACCCAGATCAAGATGAAGAACAGGTTCTAAGTATAAGCAAGGCTTGACTGAATATAAAGGAACACCCCATCCCAAGCTTATAAGAGTCATCAGTGTGTCTGACCAAAAACATCAGGCAGAAACCCAGACCGTTGAGTGTAAGTTTCCGCCACCTTGAACAGCCTTCCTGTCCTGTCTGCAAAGCTCCTGTTCACCCTCCAGAATTGTGACCTGTTTCACCCTGTCCGTGGAATGTGCATTAACTTCCCCAGGGGGAGTGGGGGTTTCCTCCTTGGCAATCCAAAAGCATTAAAACATAAATCTATGCCTGGCATTTCAAAATATCTTTTCCTGAAAACGCCTCCAAGTGTTTACATTATTAGAAACTATTCTCTTTCTTTCAAATGAAATGCATCTATTCAAAGCGGAAAGGCCACTAAATGAGAAATTTGCCTGAATCCCGTCTGGCTGTGTGACCTCAGCTGGCCCTCGCTGACTCTCACCGCCCTCCTCTCAAAAACTCAAGTCCTGGGGCAGACTAGTTTCAGGTGCTTTCTGCCCTGAGCACATGCCAGACACTGACACTTAGAACTAGCCCCTTTTACCCTCTCAGGGACAAGCAAACATTTTTCAATTAATCAAAACTATTTGTCTCTGCCACAGATACTGGTTAAGCCTGTGGGACTTTCCAGAAATTTCAAACCTATCTTCACTGCTGGCTGTTTATATCAGTCATTACTGATATAAAGTCATTATTCATTTATAGAAGAAACAGTCTTCACCGTCAGTGAAATTAAAACTTTGAGATCATCTGTGTGATAATGTCACAACTTCAAAACCTATCATAATATCTATGACCACTATTGCCCTTAACACTTAGAAATGGGGACCAAAAAGTGTGACCCAGAAGCGATCTTTAAGTGTACACAGAAAGCAAGCTACAGGTAAGCAGTGCCAGCTGACAGTCCATGCTTGTCCATGGAAACACACATCAGTAGCTGCTACAAAGATTCCACCTTGGGCCGGCCGAGTGGCGCACTGGTTAAGAGCTGGCTTGGGATGCCAGAGGGCCCCGGTTCGGATCCCACATATGAGGGCCAGTGACACTGCCCTCTACAGCTAAGATGCTGAACAACAGCTCAACCTGGAGCTGGGCTGCCGTGGGTCGTCGGCGACAACGTAGGCTGCAGCCCCTGTGGCAGTGGGTTGCCATGGGCTACTGTGTGTAGCCAGCAGCCAGCGTGAGCAGTCAGCAGCCGCTGTGAGCGGCCATCCAGAAGCCGGCGACTGATCTGCCTCACCCGGGAAGAGCACAATGATGGTGCCAACTTGGGCCAGTGAAGCAACATCCTCCACAACTAGACTGAAGAACAAAACAACAGCAACTTGTCTGTTCCCCTTCTCCCAATTCCCCAATAAAAAATCTTAAAAAAAAATAGATTCCACCTTCTCTCCCATAAAAATACAAAAATCATAAGTGTATACCTCCATGAATTTTCGCAAAGGGAATTCGCCCACATACCCAGCACCCAGGTCAAGACACAGAACGTGGCCAGCCCCTAGAAGCCCCCTCATGGCCCTTCTTGAAGGTCACCGCTATCCTGATCCTCACACCACTGACTAATGTTGCCTGATTTTGAACTTTATATAAATGGAATATTTTGTTTCCAGCTTCTTTTGTTCTGCATTATTTTGTAAGATCTATCCGTGTTGTTGCGTGTAATTATCGTCGTTCATTCTCTTTGCTCTATAACAGCAAACTTTTTCTATTATGGACCAGACAGTAAATATTTGAAGATTTGTGGGCCACGCAGCCCGTCAGGACTACCCCACTCTCCCATTGTCACATAAAAGCAACCAGAGACGGGGCCAGCCAAGTGGCTCAGTTGGTTAAGATTGCGAGCTCTGAGCAACAGGGTCGCCAGTTCGATTCTCACATGGGCCAGTGAGCTGCACCCAAGCTGAGCTGCCAACAGGTGGCAGGATGGCTCAGCTGGTGAGAGTACGTGTTCCTAACAACAAGGTCACCGGTTCGACTACCACGTGGGATGGTGGGCTACACCCACCCACAACTAAGATTGAACACAGCACCTTAACCTGAGCAGCAGCAAGAGGCCAAATGGCGACCAGATTTGGAGCTGAGCAACTGTGCCCTCCACAACTAAGACTGAAGGACAACTTGGCTGTTCCCCTTCC